ACAAATAGAATTGGAGCTCTTGCCAGAGATTTAGAATGGTGTATGAAATTCTTGGCTAGATTTTCTTCAATATACTCCTTGAGTTCAGCCAACTCATTTTGTGATAAACTGTAGATTGGTCCGAATGGCGGTTGTGCTCCTTCTTGAAGGTCAATTGAGCAATCATAGGGATGATATTCCGGGAGTGTATCTGCATTCTTTTTTTCAAATACATCTTGAAATTCTTGATATTGGCTTGGAATGCCACTTGAAGTCTTTTCACTTGTAGAAACGGGTGTGGCACAAATAATATATGGTGATTCTTTCATAGCAACATGCAAGAAAGCTTTTGTACCTATAAATATGGGTTTGATTGAACTGGACTTATGACTCTCTACTTGATTAACTACATTGTTAGTTATACTTTTAGAGAAAGTAAGAGTTCAAAAAATCCAATTTATTTGAGGATTGTATTTTTCTAACCACGATAAACCTAAAAGAATTGAATTAGAGGAAGATCTAATGATATTAAATACTACAAAGCTATTATGACCATTAATTATTACTTCTATAGGAAGGATTTTGTGAGTAATATCTCTAGAAGACAATGAACGACCATCTATGACTGCTACATGAACAAGTTTAGTTTTCTTTACTAAAGATATGTTATGTCTTTTAGTAAATTCTTCATCTAAGAAACACGTTGAGGCTCCTGAATCTAACAAGACAGAGGTTTTGTAATGTTTAGGTCCTAAAATAACATTTAATATAAAACAAAGAAATGGTTCTGAGGAGAGAATAGGACCTTTACTAGATGTTGTGCAAGGTTCCAACCGCATGGTCCCTATTGTAACTGGACAAACTCATTTTCCAACATATTATCTTTTTTCACAGCCATACTCCTCATTTTGTGATTGCGTCATTTTTTTGGACAATGTTGAGTAGTGTGCTTTGGTTCTCCACAATATAAACATAATCCTTCTTGACGACGATGAGTCTTTTCTTACTCAGTAAGAGGTTTGAAACGTACTGCATCAATTTACATATCCTCTACTTCCAAATATATGTGTTGAAGAAGTGTTGGTGTTGCCATTGAATTATAGAAATGTTGAGGTCTACTTGTACGGTTCTCAGATCGAAATTCAAAAAGGTGAATGTTGTACTTCACAGCAAAGTCAATTGCTTGACTCAATGTTTGAGGATCAGGTAAGTTCAGCATTAATTTTTTTACCTCATATTATAATCCGTAGAGAAATTGATTAATAAGTGTAGCATCATCCCACTTGATATCAGTTGCAAGTTGTCAAAATTGTGAAGCGTATAACGTTACTGATCGATTGCCTTATCGTAAAATATGGATCTTATTGGTTGCAATACGAATTGCATCATGTTCTCCATACATGGATCGAAACTCCGCCAGAAAAGCCTCTAGATTATCCAATATTGGATCTCATCGTTCAAGAAAAGATGAAAACCACGATAGTGCTGAACTTGAAAGAAGCGTACTAATGAATCTAACTTATGATCCTGGAGTTGGATAGCTTTGGGATTGAAGTTCAATCACAAGTTGTACTTGATTGATAAATCCTCGAAACTTAGATCTGGTGCCATCAAACTTCTCAAGTAGGACAATTCTTGGTTCTCTTATATTTGAAGGGCGTTCCACCATAGGAGAAAGGACATGATTTGGTGCAGATGTTGAAGCAGCTCCAACCATTTCTATATCTTCACCTCCTGCCAATCTTGTTGCTCCTTGTGCTGGTAAATTGAGTTGATGCATTGTAAGCATTAACTCCCTCAATTGTTCTTGCATTTGTGCTATTGCACTCTTCATTTCAATATGTTCTTCTATGATAACACTTAGAAGAGAGAAGATGTCTGATATCGCTCAAGACAAATAGAAGAGAGGATTTGAGAACAAAGAAAATACTAAGAACAATATGAGTTTAGAAGAGGGTAATCCACAACTTCTAATATGCTTATATCTTATCAAGAAAAAAGGATAATCAACTCTTAATCAAGATTAGACAAAGCTCTGATATTGTAGGTATACTCTTGTCAATCTGTCAAGGGCAAGAACTTGATGAAAATAAAATTCAGACAAGTGAGCCTTCACTCATAGAAAGGTAACAAAATATAAATAAACAAGTATGTATATTGAAAGAAAAACTGGAATGGCTATTGCCAAAAGACAAGAAAACTAGAGACCCTTGAAACTAGACTAGAAGCAAGAAAGGAATTGACAAGAGTGAAGAAAGCTTCACTCTTATCTCTATATATACTATCTAACTAGGGGCTACGTGGTGACGTTCTATAGGACCTCCAATATGTGTTGACTTTATAGAACACATGCCTTGACTTACAAGGCAAGTTTTTCTACGTGTGGGCCATATAGTTAGCTTGATCCTCAAGCTAACAACATGTGTGGTACATGGCCAACTTGTTGACCACGTTTCTAATCCAAAAAGTCAATTAAAGATACCTATGAAGTCAAAGCAGCGTCTACAAAGCTTCTAGAAAGCTTCCATATTAAATACTATAGAATTAATTTACTTTTACCTACTTTTACTTACTTCTATCTATTTATATATGTAATTACTAGCTTACATGATTATGTCCATGACACAAGATAAAATTCTACTTTCAATCTTTGTTCGTAGCTTCTTTGTAGTTATGATGCTTAGGAGATGGAAAACCAACAACTATGGATTCGACTCAAGAACCTTCATTTGCTGACTTGTCAGACGAGACATTACGATTGTCACAACCTTCAAGACAATGTAATTAAGATGAAGATCTTCAAGAACGACATGTTCTTCCTTGAATAGATGGCAAGATACAACGCGTTTGGTATCATGATTTGGGAAGGGACTCCCGATGTTTGGTGATTTTGCTAGAGGTAGGAACAACTCCTGATGGTGTTCCAAATGTTTTATTCGAAGGAAGTTATGAAGGCCTCAATAATGATCAAATAACTGGGTGGTCTTCCTGCCTTGATATGGCACACTACCGATGGTTGAAAGGCCCTATCAATTATCTTTAAAGAGAACAAAGATCAGAGTATGTGGCGAATACAATTTATCGCATCATAGATTTCCTCAACATATGATGACCGCTCCTCATTAAACTCGTCCCTAGAAAGGAAGGTAATGTCACGGACATACTCATGTAAGCTAGTAATTACACATTCAAATATGTAGAAGTAAATAAAAGTAGGTAAAAGTAAGTTAATTCTATAGTATTTGATATAGAAGCTTCATAGATGCTACTTTGACTTCATAGGTGTCTTTAATTGACTTTTTGGATTAGAAACGTGGTCAACAAGTTGGCCATGTGCCACACATGTTGTTAGCTTGAAAACCAAGCTAACTATGTGGCCTATACGTAGAAAAACTTACCTTGTAAGTCAAGGCATGTGTCCTACAAAGTCAACACATATTGGCGGTCCTATAGAACGTTGCCATATAGCCACTAGTTAGATAGTATATATAGAGATAAGAGTGAAGCCTTCTTCACTCTTGTCAATTCCTTTCTTGCTTCTAGTCTAGTTTCAAGGGTCTCTAGTTTTCTTGTCTTTTGGCAATAGCCATTCCAATTTCTCTTTCAATATACATACTTGTTTATTTATATTTTGTTACCTTTCTTTGAGTGAAGGCTCACTTGTTTGAATTGCCTTTTCATCGAGTTATTGTCCTTGACAATTTTTAAAGAATAGGAAACTTGTTGAATAAGTTTGAATAGCTATGTGGCATAATTATAAAAGTCAAAATATCTAATCCATGTCTATTAAACTTCTTAAAGGTTCTCAAAGAAAATATTATCTTCTCAACATATTTTTATCTAATTTTATTTACTTCTATTCATTTCTATAATATGGATATTTTTCACAAAAGATGTGATTGCAACTATTATATTAGTATCTTATTGAAGATTCATACTTTTAATAAGACACTATCTTCTATTGTTATAAATCCTATATAATTAATAAAAAAAATCAATTCTTATAAAGATATTATATTTTATAAAAATATTACAATATAAGGTTATTACTTTTATTAAAACTATTAAGTTGGATTTTGTGAGGAATTAAATAATTTTCATCTTTAAAGAATTACTAATTATTTGAGTAATTGAATAGACATAGAAATAGATTTATTGCATTTTGAATTGATACATATAAATACAAAATAGACACTACTATCTTTTTATAAATTTTACTAGTATAATATCAGATACTATAAATAATAATCAACACTTAATAGCTGGAGCTAGGACAATACAAACAAATGCATTGTTTTGTGAAATGAAAATGCAGAAGGTTGAGATTGGACTAAAATTTGAGTGACAACATATGTAAATGTACAATTGTTTCTATTTAAGCTACCTTGTAGGATGATAAGCTTTGAAACCATATGGAATAAAAGTATGCATCTTCTTTGTGAACTTTGGCTCTCTTTCTAAATATTATGTAACACAACCTTCATGATCTCCTAGTTGAAAATTGACCTGAAAGAAGGGAAAGGAAAAGAACAAGGAAGGAGAAGCAGGGGGTTGAAGGGTGTGCTGATAAGGATCAGTCACATGACCATGCATGGATGGTGGCATTGAGAGACATGATGAGGCATGCATGCATCCATGACTTTGAGCAATAACATGGCCAGTGGAATCCTCTCACTTCTCTCTTCTCTCGTAAGGAGGGTAAAAAGAAAGGAAAGGGGGTAAAACGAAGGGAGGGGGGAGAAACACGGGGATAGGCTCAGCCGACGGCTTCACCGCATGAACATCCCAGCAGAAACAGTCCTCCCTCTCAGCTCCCTACGAAAGGAGAGACGAAATAAGGGCAGGAAAAAGAAGAAGAGGAAAAAGAAGAAGAAAAAGAAAAAGAAAAAGAACCAGGGAAGGGGAAAAGCAGGACCAGCCTTGCCAGTTGGGGGCAGCCCCGGCAGGGCCGGTCCGGGGGTTAGAGGTGTAGAAGGGGAGGACAGGACAGGACCAGGAGGAGGGGGAGCCGGGGAGGCCTGCCTGCCTGCGTGCCTTTGCCTGTCCTTCGTCTCTCGTCTCGTCTCCCCCTCCCCTCTTCTCTGTTCAACCTTGAAGGGTTGTGAATGTAAGTGTGAATGAATAGGTATATATATTTGGCCACTCAGCGGCCTGCATGTTTTGTAAGCCCTTGCGCAGCAGCGTAACTTGGAGCATCCTCATCCGCTCCACCGCACCTTTGCAACGGGAAGTCGACGAAGAACGAAGAATAACTACGAAGAGGGTAGTAGTCGTAGAAGAAGAAGAAGAACGGACAAGAAAGAACGAATCACACGGAGAAAGAGGACGAGGAGTGTGTATGTACTCTGGTTGTTGCAGAATCTGTAGTGACTGGAGAGGGAAGAAGCCGAAGCAGAAGCCAGGGCTAGACCTATTATTAGAAAGCAGGTGACGAGAGAATATGTCTCGACTGAGCAACGACGTCGCTTGAGGGAGGGTTCTTCTGATGTGGAACGGGTAGGTCACTGAAATGTTCGCAAGGGTTGCGCAAATTTATGCTAGGTGCTGCTGATTTACAGCCGTTTCAGAGTCCGTTCTACCTTTTGGGGATGGTAGAGTTGAGCCGAGGAAGGGGAAGCTACGATGCGGGATGCCAAGCCCTTTGTGTGTGCGTGCGTGTGCTTGTGTATTGTTGGTATGTGTGCGTGCTTGTGTTTTCTTTTTAATTTTTTCCGTTTTTATATTTTATTTTTTTTAGGGGAGAGGGGGAGGTAGGATGTAGAATTCCAGGAGCAATGGAGCATCGTGGAGACATGGTAGGGGAGAAATTGTGCGGGTGTCATTGCGGTGAAGCCTTGATGGGGTTTGGATGTGGAAGGTTCTGGACGTGGATGGGGTCGCATGTTACTAATCCGCCATAGCTAGCTGCAGTGATGGGGAGGGTTGTTTTTGGGTCACCCTTAAGCTTGATCTGGACGGAGTGGCGGGAGTTTTAGGGTGGGGCTATAGTTCAGTTGTATTTGTTAGTATTGGAGGTGCTATTGAGAGGTAGGTATTCTTGGTGCAGTTTTAGATGACCCAGTTGCTTGATCTCCTTACCCCTTTTCGCTTGGCACTCCGGAAATTTGAGATTGTTTTGCATTTTCTTCTTCTTCTTCTTCTTCTTCTTTTTTTTTGGGGGGCGAAGGGGGGGGGGGGATATAGGATTGACGACACTTACCGATGGCTGAAAGGTGGCAAGTCCAAGAAGTGTATGATAGCAGAGATAGCTGTGAGAGGACTATGGAGTACTTGAGGTAGTGTGTTCAAGGGTACATTACGGAATTGTGCTCTTGGAGGTTGACTTCATATAATTAGCCGTTTCGACAATTAGCTCGGATAGACCCAGGTTTGGAGAAACTAATACACAGAATGATTTATTATGAGAATATGTCTCCCTTTGCTTTCTCGTTAGCTTGACCAGAGGTAGGGTTAGCAGAATTATTCACGGTTTGCGCAAGTCAAAGGGTTAGGTTAGGTCCAGAGGATGGTTAGTCAGCAATGTCCACGACCGGCAAGGTATTTTTCGCTACATTTTTGCGGCGAGAGGCTTGGGAGTGAGTTTTCAGAAGTATCGAAGGCCGCATAGGTGCCGTGAGAATGATCTACTTGTCGCGTTTATCTCGAAGTGAAACGGCACTGCTTCGAAACTTGTAACGGTCTTCGTCTGGGTGTAGGTCATATACAGCCCACCTCCCATGAACTACTGATTTGTAACTGTGACGTGAACTTAAGGGCACTCTCGGCAACAATGTTACTGGATGTTGTGGCTGCTAGTATATGCTCGTTCGACAAGAGTGACCTGACCTTTAGTCGATAGTCTTTCCGATGAGGACTGGGAACGCTCCATTCTTCGTCCAATAAATTACAATGGTGTATGATTGCGGTTAGTTTTAAGAAGGAGAGAGAGCTGGCTTCCGTCATAGCTGTAGGAGGCTGCATTGAGCGTGAGAATATTGATTTGGCAATCTGGAATACCTTCTAGCCAAGTAAGAGCTTGAATGAATATTACGAGGGAATCAATTTTATAGTGGTGACAACTTTGTGTACTTAACACTTTGGGAGAAAAGCAAAGAAAGAGAGTTAGGGTTTTGTTTGGGGCCATGATCACTCGACTTTATTGTTCAGAAGCGATCGTTTATAAGCATTTCTTTTCACAAGCAATGTGGCAATTCATTCTTGTTGCAACTATGCGAGGAACGCTTAAATGTGTTAGTTTATGTTTGACTAAGTCGTAGCATGATTCAGTAAAACGAAGGTAGGCGAGACAATTTAACTAGCAAGTATTTTTGTTGTTTGTGGTGACTCCTATGTTGCGTACTTCAATGCTTCTGTGGTTAATTCTCAAAGAAAACGTTTTCACTCTTCCTCACTTCGTTTCATTTTTTATTCTATTTTGGCAAGCAGCTTTCCAGGAACTTGGTTTATGGAGAGGTTAGTCTTTCTTTGAGAGTCGTGCACGTTGTTGAGACTACGGTCGTTGATGGATTGCAGGTGAGTCGTGAGGATGGTTTAACATGGATAGGGCAGAACCTGGAGTTGGTACAGCTCCCCAGGCTACTGCGGGGCCATGCAGAGCAGCCATGCATCGTCCTCGGGAGAGGACCATGAAGGAGCTGCTTCGGCATGCTCAGAAGATTTCTGAGCCAAGGGTATGTTTCGCACTTGATACTGAACATTTTTATCGTCCACTGCAGGTTTGACATTTTAGACAGTGTGACCAATTGAACTTCTCATAGAATCCTACTATGGAGATGAATGAGCGCTAAAATTCTTTTTACTAGTACAAATTTGTGGATGTAGAATTTCTGGGCTTGTGAAGTAGACTCTGTGAGCGTGATGCACGATCAAAACAAAAATTTCATTTAAACCTTCCTTTTGTCGCATTTTCTGGGTATTTTGAAAATTGAGATTTGGTCGTGAAAGATACTCTGTGGCATTTATTGATTGTAGTTATTTGGCCTACTTACCTCTGTAATTTTCAGGTTGGGTTCAATATTCCAAGTATTCAGTGTTGATTCAGTGTTTAAGTTTGTATTGTTGCCTTGCAGCCATCGCCTGTTCTAACTGATGGAGCTCGTATGCATGGTCCGGGTGTGAAGGAGGTAGTGCACCTTTTAGGCACTAACAAACTTGCAAGGATGGGTTGTACTGATTAGTGATTAAAAGAGGTGGTCGCAACTTTTTGCAATTCTGTTCCAGCTGAACTGTGTTTTTAGGCACTAAACCATGTGTTCTATTAATCATATAATGCACCAGCAATGTACAGGTGTAACAGAGTTTTCAAGTTAGTTTAATCCTGAACTGAGTTGGAGTCATATCTGAGAACATTCAACGGCTGTTTATCCAGGAATGCTATAATTGTGGGGGTTTAGTTGCGGCAGAACAACTTCAGCGATGTAGTGCTTGTGAGTTTTTACTATTTCTTTGAAGTTGAGCAACTCTTTAGAAACAATCAGAACAGACCGAGCATCCTCCATTGTCTGTGGCTGGGATTATTATCTGTTGTCAATGCTGTCATTTTACAATGATTTATGTTGCTCATTCTTCACAATCTGGTATCGTTGGTATTTAAAGTAATGTAGATGAAGCATGAGAATTATGAAACAGGTAGTTAAAACCTGCTGTTGGTGCATGCTTTGAGTCAAAAACTTCTCACAGTTTCTTGCTAATGTACTTCTTTGGCAGGCGATCGAGGATTTCACAAGACTTGCTTAGACCCGCATGTAAATGTATGTACTCCACGTTAAAAATCCACAGAAATACTTGAAACGGTCCTGGAGTGTTGAACGTACTGGCAGACTTATATAATGGTTTTGAAAGATGGTGGATTAGATTGTGTAATTGAACAAGTGGGTTGCATTGTGTTGAAACTTGAAAGTTCTTGTTCTTACTAATGTATTGTTTCTCGACAAATGGTTTTGAATTTGGTAACATGAATGTGCTGAGTTAACAGAAGTCTGACTACATGCAGATCTTCCCACCTGGAGAACCTTGGTACTGTGGTCTTTGCGATGGTTACGAGAGTCGGGGAGAGGATACCGAAGCAACCGACAAAACTCCAGGTGACAGCATGACAAGTAGCCAAAATACTTGTGGTCAGTGGAATTCAACTGCTTCCGGTGGCAAGAAGAAGTTGACCAACGTACGGGGGTTACAAGAAGTTGTCCAGCAAGAGAAAGCTAGCCTTGTAGATATCAAGCCTTTACAGACAGCATTCCAGAGCGGCATTGATCGCTTTGCCTCTGGGGAAACAGGGGAGGCAAGCAGAAAGAGTAAACGAGGGCGTCCACTCAAAAACGCCAGCCCTGCCTTGCCTTCTAAACGTCGACGGGCTGATTCTGGAATTTCCAAGGCCAAGCCTGATGATGGGAACGCATCATCCAGTGTTCTAGAACAGGCAGGGGATGCAGAAGAGGTGGCAGTAGAATCCAGGCGGGAGCCTGTGGGAGCTACATGCAGTTTTAGCATTGACCTTCCTGCTAATGCCGGAACCACACCTTCGGAAGTTGATGAAGGGGTGCTTCCCGCTGTGGTTCCAACTGAAAGCAACGATGGGCAAATTCAGAATGTTGAAGGTAGAGCAGGTTTAAAAGAGGGTCAGCTTGATGATACCAAGTTGGCGAATTCAGATAAGGTTTTGCAGTCGATGGCAATGAAGGATACAGAGTCAAGCACCGAGGCAGCCCTAGGTCCGGTGACGGACATGAGTACGGTCCAGGTAGTGAAGTCTGAAGAAATGGATGCGTCTCATGCAGGTATTTTTAAGCTAGACAATTTTCTTTTTGTGAACTTTCCTCTTTGTTTCTGGTAACATAGGTTCTTTCTATCATTTTAGAACTTTCACAAACACTTCATACTTGATGTGATTGTGAGTGTTTCTTTTTTTAAACTTTTGGTAGTTGATGGGTGTTGTAGGTACACAGAACGATTTGCTTGTTCTAGCAAAAAATATTTTTATCACCCTCTATCCCCTCGGCTCTTACAGCGCTTGTAATGTATTACACCTGACGTTGCCTTTGAACCTGTTGCAGTGCCGGAGGACATGAAGCTCCAGGATCTGGAGGCTGATGCACGAAGTGGGGATCTTAGTGGCCACTTGCAAACATCAGCAGCCGAAGCTGAAATAGTTTTACTTCAACCTTCCTTGACATTAGTGAGCAACGCACACAATGTCGATAATCAGTCTTTTGGAAACGCTTCAGAGCAGGGAGTCAAGGTTCTTGCCTCTGATCAGCATGTGAAAGTGAAGTGCTCTGTAAAGGAAAACGAGAATGCATCAGCGATTCATGCCTTGAAGGAACCTCTTTTGAGTGAGAACCCTCAAAGGAATGCATTTGAATCCATACGAAAGGCTACCTTGTCGGAAGCACAAGAAAAGAGAAGTGAACCACCATTAGCAAATCCTGCTGGGCCAAGCTCATCAGCTGCTTCCCTGACTAGTTCACCTTCTCCCTTAGTCATGCGTACCAGCTCATCTCCTCCCTTGAGCAATTCCCACTCTCCTGTATTGGATACCTCGTCAACATCCACTGCCTCGCCATTCGAGGGGCTCCAATCACAATCGAGGGATTCCATAACTTTTACTCCTCTAGACTCTCCTCAGTTTTTAAAGCCTGCTCTCGAGCAAAGTGGAGGTGATGGAAAGGTTTCTTTAGTCTCTAAACCTCCTTTTAAGGCGTCTAGTTCTAGCCCTTCTACCATTACTTCTAATCTATCCAGATCTGAGAAGATTGTCACGAGCGACTCTTCTCCGCATGTTCAATGTATGATGCAACCTATTGTTCACCTGTCGCCGTCAGCGGCTCTTAATCCATTGGTTACTGACGTTGATGATGTTGCTGAGTTGTCTAATCTGGTTAGTGGACTTCCAGTACCTTCAAAACGATTACGGAAAGGGCAGCAGGCCTCTCCTCCTGTGCTTGAAGCCAATGGGTTTGTGGCACAATCAGCTCGTAAACGCAAGGGTCAGTCTGTGGACATTTCTCAGTCGGGACATATCCTTCCGTTTCGTGACGGGAAGGAGCTGAATAGGACTTCTTCGATGCGTGACCAGTGGCTTGTCAAAACCGTTCTTCCCAAGGTGCCGGAAAATGGTAGCAGCAGAACAGAGCCTGACGATACTCTTTCTGGTAAATCCAGGGAGTCCATTCCAGAGGATGACAGAGATGGATCACCAAGCAACCTTCTCGTGGAAGATGTATTTCTTCAAACTTTTCAATTAAATTTCCTTCGATGTTTTTGTTTTCAAATCTGATTCCAAGAGTACTGTCTGAAAATGTAGATTATGGTAGTTTACACGGAGTTTAGATTTACGAGTAAAGGATGCTGTCTTAAATAACTCAACACCCCTTTTGGTCATCAGGTCAAAGTTTGTGATACCTGCGGTAATACTGGTTACGAGGAACTCCTTGCTCTTTGCAGTTCCTGCAACGAAGGTGCTGAACATACGTAAGTACACATGCCATCTTATTGTTTTCCATCTTCATATATATTCACACATATTTTGAAAGAATCGGAAACCCTCATCTTGCTTGTAGGTGTACCAATTCTTTGTTTCTTTCCTCCATTCAGCTTTTGTTCATTACACTTTGAAGAGATTCTAATGTATTTTTGTGGGCGTTTCAGTTATTGTATGCGTGTCCAGATGGATGCACTACCTGAAGGAGACTGGTTTTGCGAAACTTGTCAAATGAAACAACGGCATGGTGGCCCAAAATCTTTGGAGCGGCTCATCGCGCCCTCTAAGTCGATTTGTCGTTCTGATTCTTTGAACAGCCGACCCAAACCTGTATCTATTCAGGGTAACTCTCGGTCTCGACTGTCCGACCGTCTCAACCACAAAAAGCCTCGCCTTACTTCTGTCAGAAAGTCGCCCTCGAAGGCTCCTATTGTACAAATGCCGGTCAAGAGATTAGCTAGTGATTCACTTATCTCTCCTGTTTCTAGAAAGTTGCCATCCGAGAGCTTTCCTTGGGCAACTTCTTCCACGATATCTCCACCTCCAATGCCTCAAGCTCCAACACCTTCAGCAAAGCCTTCGCTAACGCGAGAAACTACTCTTAAGTCTGCTCCTGACACTGGCAAAGTGAAATTTTTGGCACCGTCGGCAGTTGCGAATTTCTCGTCGGGTGCACGAGCTAATGCGGCTAAAGCAGTAATCGTGACCTCACAGCCTCCGAAAGCAGGTACTCGCTATCATAACCTACAATTGAGTAACAGTTACTCGCTCAGAATTCTTCGGCAGTACTTGTGTCCTTTAACCTAACACTCAACAGTTTTTATGGCCGGCCTTGACCAGTAGGCTGTTGTAATATGTTCTTTTGTTGGTAGAATTCTAGAACGGATGTATGTTTATGACTTGGCCTTTGGGAGTGAAGTGCCTCTAAAATGTGGAGATAACAGTAAATGCATCAGCATTTGGACATTGTTAGGTTGTGATACTAGATATCTTCGTCAATTTTCTGTTTGCTGATGAAGTTTATGGTTGCTTCTCAAAGTTACTTCAGCACAAGCTAGCAGCAAGAGCAGGTTTGCGTCACTAAGCAGCATATCTGAGTCGAGCACACCTTCAAAGGCCACAAGTTTGAATTCTTCTCGAGTGTTACTAGCGTCTTCACCCACTCCGATACTTTCTAAATCTGCGTCTGGTAAACTTTCGGCTGACTTCTCAACTCCTTCAAAAGCCTTAACTGCTAAACCTTCAGGCGACTACCCTTTTCTGTTAAGTTCGAATTCCAGGCAAGGGAATGGAATGAAAAGCTCTGGACAACCGAAGAGCGGCAGAGATGGCGGTATTTCAGACGGGAACTCTCTGCCGCCTGTGGGTAGGGAATCTTTGTCGTCTATGACTACAACTCCAGGGTCGAAACTGATGAGACTGGGAAGAAATACTAGTAGTGGGTTATCTGGTGAACCTCGACCCTCTCCTGACACTCCCAGACCTCCACTCGAACACGGAAAAGGTATCCAACGTTCAGGGCAAGGGACTGGTGGTTCATATGCGGCAGGTAAGACATTACAGGCCTGCGCTTTAGTATAGCATGGTAGGCTTTAGAATTCTATTCCTTGTAGTGTGCTCCAATTTCGAAGAATTTTGTGTCGCCGCGTTTGAAATCTATCGTTACTGTATCTTGGGTCCTTGAATTTCATTATCGCTCTAGGCTTGTTGCATTCTTTTCATGGTAGCCTTGCCGTTTTACTATGTACCCCTTTCCAATTACTTTCTTTGATGTACTTACTATGCAGAATTCCCTTATCCTCCTATTCTTCATGGTTGCTGTGAGTGATAGTTCCCATTTCTGCAAACAAAGCTTTTATGCGTAATGTTGTATATAGATAACTCGCTACTTATCTATCTAGGGAATCTTGAAATTCTTACTCACCTTATTCTTAAATTTCACTAATTGTAGGGACGGGATTATCACAAGATGCATCGAAAGCTGGTGGTAAGGATAAGGCATCACCCAGATCCGAGCTTACTGCGGGTGTAGGATCAACGATTGCTGGAAGGGGGACATCGGAACTCGCCTCTTTGTCTGGGTTTCCTGGGAAGAATGTAAAGCCGAATACAAGTATTTGGAGTGCACCATGGTTGGGAGATTCAAGTTCTACTCGGTGTTTGGCATGCAAGGGTATTGGACATAATGCCCAGGACTGCCCTAAGGGTAACTCCTTCGCCTCTGAGCAAAAGACCATGACTGGATTATCCATATCTCCTGGTGCCAGTCCCAAGCCCCCCAAGAACTCAAAAGAAGTAGGTCCAACAGATTTAGATGCTCATGCATCTGCACCGGGAGTGAAGGGAGAACAGCTTGAAAAAGTCAGCTCGGGACCGGTGTTTCAAGGTTTGCAAATCGGAATTGAATCTGTCCCAGGAAACTCTAGTTTGGAGCCAGAGAAGTCGAAAACCCTTCTTCCTTCCCCAACACCCGGTGACCTCGTGCACAGAAGATCACCTAGTTTTAAAATTCACGACTCTTCTTCCGCTGCCTCTAAGGTTCCTTCCTTGCTTACTAGTACTTCGTTTCAGCAATTAGTGACTGGTCAGATTTCTTCTGGAGTCTCATCAGTAGCAAATGAAGATATCCCGCATCGACAGGGATCAAAAGCTGAGTCTGGATGTAGTAATGCTAAGGCACAAGCCGGGGCTTATGATACGGAAGGGCCTCCAGGTGTAGAGACTGCACATGTGGATTCTAAGACGTCAGCCATGCAAAACAGTACTTCGCCTGCGGTGAAAAATGAGGGTATTTTGGTGTTAAATGCTTCGCAAATTTCTGGTCCCAAAGGACCACAAGGGCATTCCAATCAACCCCCAGAAGCTATCGCATCTGTTCCTGCGCCTCCAGTTTTGCCGAGAGGGTCTGCATCCACCGTTTGGGGACCTCGGCCACATTGGATGGTGGGATTATCTGCTCATGCAGTACAAAGCCCTCAAACGGGACATGTACATCTTCCTGGACAAGTTCCCACTTTCGCACCTTCGGGACCTGTCATATATGGGCAATCTGCTCCGGTGACTTACCTGGCATCCCAACCTTCACAGCTCCTTCTCTCATATGCTTCCTCCACTCTTCCCCCAGGCCTATCTCCGACCCCACCTATAACCCCAGCTGCCCTTGATGATGCAGCCATTCCAAGTGCGGATATTTCCTGGCGGTAAGATTCAAAGTGTTTTATCGGTGTCGTACTGACTTCACAAAAATAACCCAATTGCTGGCAGTGATCCCAGTTTGCAATTAACTATCCTCGCACTTTTCTCTCACCACTTCAAGGCTATGCTCGGATCTTGCTGCCTTCTTCTGCATTTTTACCCTCACATCAGCCTCCCTCTTTTTAGCAGTACAACTTGTAGTGGGCATGGCCTAATCTACAATAAACTGCAGACTTGTTGATCCTGAGATATCTTTTTTGTTTTTTTGTTCTCTAATATTTTTACTTAACTTTTGCTTTGGCTTTAAGCTCCTTATTGCCTCTATGGTGCTTTTAGACTTTGACTTAATCTAATTTGTGGTGATTTGACGCTACACATGTGCATGCAATTCAATCCTTCCATTGCTGATCATCACATATGGTTTATGGTTGTGCAGAGGTGCTTTCGAAGTTAAGGACGGTCAGACGACGGTTATGTTTGATGAAATACGGGCTCACGTTTCTACCAGGGCTGTTGCTAAAGTACATGAAGTTGCAGCGGCGCTGCCGCAACGACTTCGCTTAGAACAAGTTCAGCGCTCCTTGGACCTGGAGACGTGGCCACGCCAGTTCATTCAACGACCTCCCACTGATGGAAGCATTGCCATGTATTTTTTCGCTGATTCTGGTGAAAGGTATTGACATTTACTAATGGTTTCTAGCATATCACCTCCGCAAACTAGGTATATATGCATCGCGTGATGTTAGAGATTATCTAACAGTGATACTGCTGTCCCTTTGCAGCATTGAGAAATTTCACCACAACTTGGTGGATAAGATGGTTGCGCGAGACCTTGTTCTCCGTGCTCAACTGGAGGATGCAGAGCTTCTAATCTTTCCATCAGACAAACTTGCTGAGCAGTTTCAGCGTAAGATATTCGATTGTTCTCATTTTCTCTTGTGCTCCTCCCCATTGCAGATGAAGTTCGAGAGAACCTTTTCTTTGCTAGGAAGACATGTTTCGAACTTTCTTCTTATTGATGTTCTGTTGTGTTTTGTAGCGTGTTTATCCTACGAAACTAGTGTGTGTGGAGAGGTAGTCTTGATGTACTTGAAATGACGAATGGTGATTGGCAAGCGTCAGGTGCATTAGGGAAGGATGGTAACAACGATTCGTGCATAGAGTAGATGTTGAATTTCTGGGACTCAAAATGTAACTGTGTATGTGTGCCTTGATTATAATTTTATTTTGATGTTTATGCATTTTCAGGCTGGAATAACCACATGTTCCTCTGGGGCGTATTTCGAGCTAAAAAACAGGCCGCAAAATTAGTCTCGCTTCCATCATTTGTGGCCAAGGAAGTACCTGGCACTGAAGCTTTGCAAAGTTTACCTGGGTCTGTGTCAAGAGCACCGGCTATGTGCGACACGGCATTGAAGGTGAAGCACTCGAATTCAGGAGTTGAGAACACAGGGGAGATAGACATGGAGGTCGACATGGAGGGGGGCAAAGAGTGTGGTGTGTCAGACAAAGCAGTTAAACGGCATGACACTACCAACCCGCCGTTAACACCTCCCTTGTCTCCAACAGGAGGAAACACCAGAACACCAATCGCACTTTCAAAAGCCACGGACTCCACATTGCAGAGTCTTGTATTAAATACAGATGTTGATAAGGCTAAAGAGGATCTTGATCTGCCTCCTGGATTTGCTCCAACTTTAACTCTACCTCCTACTGCAGTGGCTCTAGAGGAGCCCAGTTCAGGATCGACTCTACCTCCTGGATTCGGAAAGACGGAAGCACGGAAACAGGTAACACATTCTTTTAGATTTTTCTCGTTGGATTGATCTCTTGTGTTTGATCGTACTGTTCCATACTAGAATATTGCTGTTTCCTCTGCTTGCATGTCTATGGTTGCGTCTAAATCTGCAGATGATCTAGAGTCTTGTTTATTCTACCTACATGCATTTTCGATCTTTAACACAGATTTAAATTTTTGTCCAGCAGGTCGAAGCGGGGAGCACTGCAGATGCTGCTGAAATTGTAGAGTTGGGAGGCCCTAAATTGAGGCACAGCGCCAGCTCTGTGGAGGTTTTGAAGGACTCCAACACGCTGTCTGCATCACCTTTTCCTGCACCAAGTCCAAGAGAGAATGAGGTCGGCCAGCCCAGCTCGCGCCCCTCGACAACCAAACGATCTCGTTCAATATCTCGCTCACCCAGTCGGGCAAAGGAGAAAGAAAGGGACAAAGGCAGGGATAGGCCGTTTGAAAGGGCGAAAGAACGAGAGAGGAGAGATCGGGACCCAAAACGTGGGCATGATAGATCTCGAGAGCGGGTTTGGGATGACCAGAGAGATAGGGAGCGTGACAGAGATTATGAGAGAGATAAAGATAGATCACAAGCCTGGGATAGATCCAAGGAAAGGGATAGAGCAAGACTGAAAGACAAAGACAGGGCTAGAGAAAGGGACAGAGCAAGGGAAAGAGAGAGGGATCGAGAGCGGGAGCGAGATCGCGAACGAGAAAGAGAACGGGAAAGAGAGAGGCTTCTGGAGAGGAGCAAGGACAGGAAACATAGGCCTCGAGACAGTGATCAAGATCTAGACAGCCGAACCAGCAGATATAGACGGTCTCGCTCTCGCTCAAGGTCAAGAAGTATGAGTCGCAGGAAAGGAATATCACGGTCTCCTGCTGCTGGAAGTCGAAAGGCTCGGTCTCGAACACCTGTTCGACAGAGGAGTCGATCTCCTTCACCGTCACGAAAATACCCAAACTACCGACGGCAATCGGTATCTGGTTCTGACTCCCCGGATTCACTGTCGATGGAGATTCTGCAAGATAAAATGATTGCAGTAAGCCGATCCCGGAAGGCAGATAGAGACGTTATGCAGAGAAAGAGGAGAAGTGCATCAGACAAAGATGTAGGTGAGAAAAGTTTCCGACCTTCATCTCGATGGAAGGCACGGCCAGTAGATGACAGACGATCAGGAAGTGCAGGGGCCAGCAATTCCAAGACTGTTGGCAAATCAAATACCGCTCCTATTTCACGATCAGTAACCCCAGTGCTGGACATGAACGAAGGCGTTAGCGAGGCCTTCTCAGCGGAAGGTGCTGCAGCATCCACTTCTTTACCAGACCTTAACACGGATTCAGTGGAGTCTGGTGTCGCATTTCATGATTTTTTGCCTGCGGATGAAGCTGGGCCTTCTAAGAATCCTGAAGCGGTCAGCCCCGTTGCTGAGCAGACTTTTTTCCCTGGAGCTCGCCCAGCAACCACGCTGCCCAACCTCACCAGGATGAACTTTCGGCATGACTCGGAACCTGTATCTGCAAGAGCGAGATGGGAGTTTGCAGTGAGTAGTACACGCCCGGAGTATTCCGCTAGATCCTCCGCGTACCAGTTCCTCCATACGTCTAGATCGGATCCCAATCCCGACCTGGAGCTCGCCCTTGGTGGTCGTGAGCCATCTCTAGAGCGTACAGTTCCTCTGCCCTTGTTTGTAGATGGACATGCCATTAGCCCTGATCTGGACTTTGCCTTGCATGCCAAGTCCCCAGACTTAAGTGTGGGCTTATCGACGTGTCCGCACGTGCCGGGGGGTCCAGGGATTGATAGTGGGGCGGTGACTGCATCCTTAGCATTGAGCCTTGCTGTACCTCAGTATAGAAAAGAGGGCAATTCGTGGGTTCAGGTTGAAGACCGCGGTGTATTGATCCCAGAGGATGTAGACATCGCTCTGACCCTGTGACATGCAAGATTGCGTTGCTGATTGTGTATAGTATGTGAAATAAGTGCCAATAAGGTTATTAGCAATCTGGGAGGTTTGTCACCAATTTGTATCCATTGTCCCCGCAATGATTCACAATTTTGCAGAGGTGGGACAGTATATTTGATCACCTGTAGATAGCTTATAGGATAGATAGATGATGCCGAAATTCAGAGCACTTGGGACGGTGACCCTTGTGGCAGACTGATAATGTTATGTATTTTACGAGCACCGGTTTGCTTTCTGTTTAAACAACGCCTTCGGGACCCCAACAAATCATTATGTTAGTCTTCGACACATGTTTGATATGCATCGCATCAAGTGTGAGAAGGATAAAGCCCCTCATTTTTCCTCTCTTTTTTCTGCATTCTGAAACTAATTGTGTTTTGTGGAGCTAAGTTGTAACCGAAGTGAGCTTACCATGGTATACATCGGTTTGTGTAGGGAGAAAGAAAAAGAACAGGTGAGCTTACTGGATTTTAAGTACTATATATTGGGCTAAATTGCAGTTGATCTTTGTATTTGATTGCTAATTTTAGGTGATTGAAGTTGTTCACAGTGAGTTTGCAAGAAGAATATGTGTAGTTGTTCCAATCATTACATTTCAAAAACGTATGTGATTAGGAGATTCGAAATAACAGATTTTTGCTTACTTTTGATCCTGTCCCTCTTAAGGTTTGAAGAACCGTTTTTATATGTATAGTAAAGATTAGATGAACCTGTGTTGTCATGGAGTTTTATATGTATAGTAAAGACTAGATGAACCTGTGTTGTCATGGAAAATGTGACTCAAATGAAGTATTTTTTTGAAGATATGTTAGTGAGCAAAAAAATATTTTCACAATTTATTTAGAAAAAAAAGAAAAAAAGAAAAAATCTACAATGGAACTTTTTGCTACAAAGTGGGTTAGCTGAACCCATGCCATTGCTACAGATATTATGCAAAAAATTAGTTAATTTTGTTCAAGGAACTACTTGTTAAGGCATAAAAATAAAAAATAAAAACATAGAATTGTGTTATGACATTTTTTTGAAATTATGGATAAATAAAATAGAATAAAAAATAATAAAAGGAATATTAATAATTATCTAATCAAAACTTCCAAAAAAATAATATTTAATATGGAATTTGAATTCTTGTTTGGAAGAAGAAGAATCATAATAGAACGGGAAGAAATGCATTGAGAAAGTGCTACATAAAGTTGACCATGAAAAAAATCTCTTATAGATCCAAACCAACGTACTTCACCAACTATTCCAAATGAAAAATTAATATTTCAAATGTCTCTAAAAAAAATCAATTGCTTCAAGATTATGACAATGTTGTATCAAAAATTCATTCCAAATAATAAGTGAAGCTTGGTAAATAAATTCAACATAGTTGGTATTCTTATTAATTGAATAAAAAGAATCTTTATTATAGTCTAATAGAATCTTGAATGTAGAATGGGCGGTCCTTCATCCATCAAGTAATAATACAATAATTCCTATTGATGCAACACATATAACAAACCTCTGCATCAATTGAATTTTAATTGCCAAAGTGTTGTAGAAAAATGTCTTGCCACTTCTTGTAGGTCTGTTTAGGAAAAATATGTATTTATGTTCTTCTATTATAGAAGCCACAATATCATCATATGCATTCCTTTGTTTAAGATTTAATTATAGAATATATTTTTCCAAATTTACTTCTAATTATTAAATATTTTATACTCTTTTTTTAGTAAATAGATTTCCATTGATTATTATATTCCAATTGTTTCTTAGTAATGATATTAGAAGAAATTATGCTAGTATTTTTTTGGAATCTTACAAAATCTTATTCAACAAAACGGGTTCAAAATCCTTAATTTGATCGTTTGTTGGATTGCTAATTCTATGTTTTCTTTGCAAATAGACATTGAAATCATCCAAGATGCTTTTTCAAAATCTTTTTGAAAGATTTAATGAATTTACAAATTTTTTGTGAAGTAACAAATAACAAACAATGTCATCAATTAAAATCCAATTTTGTATTTTTGATGCCTCCTCTAAACATTGTTGCTACTTTCTATCATCTTCAAACAATCCTACACCCGTACATGCACTTTTAAATGTTGGATGAGAAATTCCATCAATAGTCTTTAAATAGTCAAATGATTGTATACTTTTAATGTGGATTAATAGAAGCCTCAAATAATATCTTTCTCTCATTGTTAGATTTGTAAAATATAACTTTCTAATAGCAAATCTGTATTTTTTTTTAATATCCATGTTCTCCTTGTCTTATGTCAAACAAAATATTGTAGAAAATATTGGTATATATATTATCTTACCATTGCTATTAATACTCAAATCTCAAAAAAAGAAGTTAATTTTATCTTTTATCTTTTAACATATTCTAGAATTGCAACTATCTTGTTATTTAGATCATATACTACTTGATGCATTTTTAGAAGATAGACCGCCAAATAAACAACACTTGGTATTTCTTCATAGATTTGCATGCCAAAAAGTCTTGAAGCAATCTTTGGAGCTCCAATGTATCTTGCATCCAAGTATTATTTGATCTCATCTTGCTCATTTTCAAATTTTATTGTAGTGCAATTATAGCCCTTGTAGATGTACTTATAGATATACTTGACTATATGAATAGATGCACATACCTTGACATTTATATGACAATTATACTTCTAAGACAATTTTGTACAAAATGGAATAACATCCCTATTGTCGACAACCATTCTTCAAACTTCAAATGTTCTTCCATCATTTTTTCATTGATATTGGGAATATTCATCTTTATCCATTGTTATTTTTTCTACAAATAACTTTAGAGACCTCTTTATATAATGACTTTCTTTCATACAAGGCGCTTAAGGATTCTTCATTCTACATATATCATGCATTGTAGAATAACTTCAAAGAGCTCTTAGTTGTTATCTTTATCCATTTTTTTTACAAAAACCAAACAATCAACACTTGCAACACATCTAATCTTGCTTTCTTTATCCAAAAAAATCAAGATATGCATATGAAATAGACCTCTATTTTGAAACTCAATGGTACAAATATATGCAACAACATAACCAAAGTCAACTTATTTTTTTTATATCTTCCATAATTTCATGTCTCTTCAGCTCAAATATATAAGCAACTAAATCTAACTAGTCACTTGCTTGTTGTTCTAGAAGTAGTTCATTTTGGATTTTGGACCATCTTAGATTTGTTGTCATTGTCAAAAAAGTATTGGAATACTAATAAATTATTATAATTGCCATAGAATCTTAAAATATTTCCATCACATGTCTTTCATTTTTAATGTATGATAATAGAAGTAAGATTATATATTATAGATTATTTAATTCATATTTGTTTTCTTGAAGCATGATACTTTGATAATTTATAATAGCATCAACTAATCCTTGGTATAAATTGGCATGTGGATTTTCTTAATTATAATGTAGATATTGCAAATGTAATTACTTAGTTGCTGCATATTTGTCAATGGTAAATTCTTGTAATAGCCTTTCTTTGCATAATATTGTATAATACTTGGTAGGCCTTAAAAAAAGTCAATAAGCAAAATAATCCATCTATTTCAGCTTGTTGCCTTTCTAATCTTCTTATTTAATATCTTTTTTTTCTTTAGTAATATCCATTTATATTTTGCATCTTTAGGCCAAAGATGCCATCTAAAGGTTCCATGTGGAAAGAAAAGAATATAATGAAGGAAAAATAAGCAAGATAAGTCTCATAAATCCTTTCTAATAGTCTACAATTATGTAGGCAAATAATAATATTATAAATTGCATTCGGCTCCAATCCATTTCTAAGCAATATAATAGAAATTTCTTCAAAAGTAGTAAAAAGATTATATCAACATCTATTGGTTTCATTCATGAAGTACAAAGAAACAATAACATCTACTTCTACTACTCCTTTATTCCACGCCTAAGATAGTATTTTATATACTTTTCTATATAATCTAATAAATAAGTTATTTTCTTTCAAAACTTTTCCAATTTCTCACAAAGTTTAGCTTGATAAATTATGATTACATCTCATCCTTCTATCTTATTCAAATGCCATGTCATGGATATAGAGTTGTGCATAAGTTGAGTCAATACTTTCTTTTAGCAATGAAGCTCTTGCAAAATAGTGCAATTCTTCATTTACTCTAAAATTGTATGGAGCATTTTCTTAAAGCACAAATCAATCAATATTTGCATCTACGGATGGAAATATATGTACATCATGGTATTAATGGATATTGTTTCAAAACTCCTATGCTCTTGTATCTTGGTCTTCAAATAAGCCTTTCAAAAGCAAAGATGCAAAAGGTAGAGATGATAGAAAAATCTTACTTTGACGATAACATTGTCCAAATATTACCAATTTCTTAGACAATTGGACTAAATATTCATTAAACTAATACAATGCATTACAATGGAGAGACAAAATATATATCATGTCTAAATTATGCATGGCTTTAATCCTTGTCTATGCAAGTTCTTCATAATTTCTCTTTTGTTGCAGCTACACCTTTTTGCAATTTTGATGATTAATATCATCTTATTCTTCCTCATCTCTCTTACAATTTATTTAATATTATTAATTAATTATTCTTCTATAAAAATTAACAATAGTTACACCATCTCTTTGATTTCTCTCTCAATTTCTTTGACTTTGTTGGACATGACCTTTGACATAAGCACTTTTGCCCTAAGTTCTAATTATTTTAGCTTCTCTTTGTATTTTTTCATGTTTCTTACATTGTTGCTAAGGATTTACTCTTTGATTAATTTCATTTCTTGTTAAAACTAAATCATTGGTAGTGGCACAAGTTCAACCAAATAAACAAAGTGAACTTGTACAAATTTCTACTTCAATAAAATTCTAATAAAATTGTATTGAATAAAAATAAAAAATAAAATTCTTACAATTTTTTTAATCGATATTTTTTTCAACTATAAAAATATAAATTACTTTTATATTATTATATAGATTTTAATTGCTCTATTTTTTTATTAGATTATAATTTTTTAATATTAATACTTATGAATTTGATACTTGATGTTGATACTTATTTATATATTTATACATATGAAGTTGTACATAGAAAATTTTACATGAAGTCAAGAAATGAAATTCTTATAATTTCTCAAATTAATCTTTGTTCTAATTATAAGAATATAAATTACTTCTATATTCTTGTGTAAATTTTAATTACCTTTTTTTTTTGTCAAGTTACTATTTTTTAATATTGATACTCATATATTTATACTTGATATTATTACTCA